AAAACTCATTGCTAACTACAGATACAAATTTCAGATCATTTTCCCCAAATAAATCTACAACATTTTAAGGATTAAAACATTCAAAATCAGATAGTGTGGTGAGCAAGAGAGATTTGGAAACAAAAAACTTCAACCATACCATGTTCCTCAACATGCTCAATGCACAGCTTCACGAACTTTGGCACCGTGCTGTTTTCTCTTTGACACAAGCTGGTGAGATTGGAACCAAACACTTGATCTGGAACCAAGTAAAGAGACTGATTTACAGTGGAACAGGACTCAAGTGACAGAAGTAGTTCAGGTTAAAACAAACCTCTACAAAGGGCAAAGACTACTGGATACAATTGTCGCAGTATTAGAGTGAAAATAGGAAAGTTCTGAAAAGAGCTCCCAGCAGTTCCCAGCAAGAAAAAGCTCCCAGCAGGAAAGTGTCAGCAGATACACAAACGTGAGTCTCTGAGTAAGGAACTTTTGCTACTGAAATAATTTTAATCCAGCAGGAGATACCTGTAAGAGTCATACAGCCATTACAGAAATGAGAAATATAATGGATTCAAATGCCTTGTTACACTCCATTCCTGTTCTGATTTCAAAATAAGTTTACTGCAACCTTTGTTCAAAATCTGAACAGAGATAATAAACTTTAACCAAAGGGAAAGCTGTTGGCATTGTTTGGTGGAAACCCCTGTAAAATTTCATCTTTCATTACACCTGCTGTTTAACCCAGCATCACATATTAATTTACTTCAACATAGTCTTTAACTTCCAACCTTTTTAAGTTCTGACATGGATTTGTAAATGACAGACCTTTACATCAAAGAGCTCTGAATGGATGCAAGTATGACATAGGCAACCTGGCCTCAAGGTTGGAATGTCAATACAGGTATTTATGGACAACAGTAGCTTTGAGTCTTGTTTGCAAAACTAGACGATCCAGCGGGAGTGTTTTTTATCATAAAGTGGAGTAAATATAAAAATCAGCTTGGGCAGAGAACAGATTCTTGCAACATCTCAGTGTATTTCAATAACATGTTAACTCCTCATGTTCAGATTATGTTATCACCAAAGTCCTTCTGAGACCCGTTTCTGTGGTTTTCACCAAAGATGAACAAACAATAGATGGCCTCCCCTGTTCAGATGCATGAGATTGAAATAGCTCACACTCCTAAAGGGAAGAAAGTTTTTAATTTATTTTAATCTGTTAAATAAGGTATGTAAGAGGCAGTTTTCACAGTATCTGGTAGATCTTACTTCAGAGCTTATGCAAGAGAGAAATTGCTCTTGCATTTGCATCATGCATAGCATCTAGCCCATTTTTCATGTTTAGTAATCTAAGTAGATTCATTAACAACACTTGCATCTGACTACTGCTTTGGGAAATGCAAACAGCACACCAAACCAATTATACAGTATGAAAACTGGCACATAATGGCATTATTAGCTGTATGCATACAAGGCTGGTGACCCAAAACACCTCAGTTCTGCTGTTGCTACTCCAGTGGAATCAGTAGCAAAGGATTGACAAAGCCCACACAGTAGAAAGCAAGGCTAGCATGCAGCTATAGCAGATAAAGCATGGCAGATTGGATAGCACCAGAAAATACTAGGCAGTAGCAAACTGATTTGCTACAATTACCTCTGACTTTAATAATTTCCACATAAGGAATCATACTTTTATCCCTCACCTTACTGTAACCTTTGTAATTTTGTTTTTCCACAAAACTCCACCACTGTTACTTCTCTGCTTAGTGCATGCTGTTTCGAGTGGGGGGTTTTCATTATTTTTTCTGCTCAGTCTGGGTTTGCCAAGTTTTCTGTGTACTAAGCTTGTTCTGTAGCAGCCACAGTACACTGGGCTTTTAAATAAAGACTTCTGTATTTTTCATTCATACAGTAAATGTAAAACTGTACAGCACAGATCCAGCTTTTAAAATTTACACCATGCTTTTAAATAAAAACAAACTCTTAATTCCTTAATGTCTTTATTAAAAAAATCCAATCATCAGCACGCATGTGTACAAATTAAACTTGGCTTTGTGTTCACTGTTGCTAATGTCAGAAGTTATGTCACTGAGCCATGACATGAATATTAAGCTGTAAAGCAGAGCAAAACAAAGTCTGGAGATAATACTTTCTTATCCAAAACAAAAATTCCATAGTTTACAGTTAAATTATATTTGCAGATACACAAATATATCAAAAGCCACATGCAACAGAAGCACACCTGTTAAAAGTATGTAGTTAGGCAAATCACAGTAGGATTTGGTCTGATATTTGCCTACTCATACACTACTCTGACCCTAGTAGAGCACCACCTACAAGTCCTGCCAAAGCATACAAATAAATAAAGTTTTACAAAGAGTACCAAGTCAATAATTTACACAAACACATTAACTTAAACCTGTGCAAATACCGTTCTCTCAAAGTTTTAACAAGTGTGACAAATGGAAATCAATTCTTTCATAAGTTTGATTCAAGAATATCTGTAAGACTCATTGTGAAACAATTAAAAAAGGTATACATTCAGAAAAGGTTAGAGGAGAAAGATGTTCAAGTTAAGATTCCTTTACCCTCATCCTGGTTTGCCTAAGTATTTCCTTTCTTATGAGATGGCACATGATTGTCTGGTTCCACTCAGACAAAAACATCCTTGTGGAACAGGTGAACACATTCAGCTTTGTACCCAAAGGACTTTGCTTTCCCTTGTATGGACAAATGATTATCACAATAAAACACCAGTTCCACTATACATCCAAGACTTTTGTTAAACCAGCTATATACATGTGTTTTACTCTAAAACTAGACCATTTTAGCCCCATTCTACACAGACACTCCTAAATCCAGCTCTCCAAATTTTTTCCTTTGTTAAAAAGGTTCATTTACCCTTAATGTAGCCTTTTTCACGGACAGCTTGTAATGTAGGGCGCCGTGTAAGGAACTTCTTGAGCTTCGTTTTGGTCTTTTTCTGATCTGTGGAATCTATATTGCTAGGTGCTTTCACTGCTGAAAAGAGAAACACATTTAGCATGAACATCCAAAGAATCAACGTTGCATTTATCTGCCAAGGAACCAACATTAAAAAATTAAGCTCAAAACCACATAAGAAACCCTATTTGAATTTGTAATGCATCCACATTTTTTTCCTTTTGGAACTCCAAGTAAATAGCATCCATTTTTCAAACCACCAAAAGACAACTCTCTCACGAAAAAACTTGCAAACCCAAGTGTTGCCCATGAAACTAACTAAATGGTAGCTGACATCTGGAATTGATGTGGAATTTTTAAAATATAGCTATGTTTCAAATCCAGTCCTGCCTTTGCTTAAGTTAACTATTTTGGAAGAAATAAACACTTTCTTGCAAACTACATATGAGGCCTGGAAGTAAAAGACAAAAAATGGTCTGACTAATATATTTCTGTGCATAGGAAGAAATTTCTGTGGGTAAGTTAAACTAAGCTCTAAAATTCTGAAGGTGTAACTAAAAATGCTTAGGTTCTCTAAATGAGCCAATGTAACTTCATTAGCAATTTAGCAAAATCGCAGTTCACGTTAATAATGCAAACATTTACAGATGTTGTACCTCAGACAAAACCCAAGTAATCCCTTTACATGTTCCATTTTGGACATGCAAAAGGACTACACAATTCTTAATCAAAACCACAGAAGTCAGAAAAACCAAATGTCTAATTACTTCTGTGCATTTGACAGCACCTTGAAAATAATCCATTTCACCACTGCCTGTTTTCTCCTATTTTTCATGCATCATACAGTAAGAGCTAAAGACATTTGTACATTTTTTTCCTTTTTATTTCCTCTTTTTTTTTTTCAAAAATTATTATTAAAACATGGAAGAAAACATACTAACTGGCACCAAGATCTAGAATAAACTACATAAAACTCTGTCCCAAAACTTGAGTAGTTTCATTTTTAGCTGAATTCTTCTCTACTTACACATAGTACTGAAGATGACGAAGGGAAAAAAAAAAAAAAAAAAAAAAAAGAAAATTGGCATTGCTAAACCAATTAATGGAAAAGTTTCAACTCACAACGAAGTTTCTTAGAGTCTTTAGAGTCTTTATTCTCTTTCTCTTTGTCTTGTTTTTCCACCCCTGGAGAATCTGGAATCTCATCTTCTAATGCTTCATCAGACTCCACTACCTATTAGATTTAAGGAGATACACAGTGATCAGTTTCCCAATTCACAGAATAGAGCATTATCAAACATTTCCTGTAGACAGTTCAAATTACAATTTTTTTCCCTATAATGATATTCAGCTGGTTCTTTCCTGAACTCTAGATGCTAAAAATGTCTTCAGAAATTACACCATTCTCACTGGCAGGGTAAATAACTTTGACAAACACTATTTGACCATAAGATCCAATAAAGTAAGGTGGGGCTTTTTTCCTAAATCCAGTAGACAAACATCAGCTATTTCAAAGTCTGCTGTAGAATTACCTAATTGGTAACAGTCTAAAATACCCCACAACATTCCTAGAGCATTTACCCTATTTCTGATCTTTGCAATTCAAATTTTCTTAAAAGAAAATAGAACCAGCAGTTGGAAAATTTCACCATTGTCAAAACATACACTGAATTTACTCTGAGAAAGTAGATACACCATCACCAGAAACTCTTGCCCTGTGTAACTGCTCTCAGCATACTGTCATTAAACGCAGCTAAGTGAAAATGTAGATCATGTGGTGTGGAGGCAGATACCAGAGACTGTTAAACTGCCCACGTGCAGGCTCATACCTGTGCTACATGCATGACTGCAGACATACCAGAAAATAGGAAAAGAAACTTCCTCTGGTCTCATTGCAACATATTCCCTTCCAAAACTGCTTACTTCTTGCTTCACTTCTTCTGAAGCAAACTTGACTTCATGCAGTTACAAAATCTGACTATACAGTGTCTTTTGTTACGAGGAAGACATTTTAAAGATAAGGCAAGTTTGTGTACTCCAGAGCACTGAACAAGCAGAAGCATGAATTCATCAACTCACTCCTTGTTGCTTTTCAAAAGCACTGGATAGCCTTTTTACACAAAGATCAATATATTCAGCTGCCCAATTAACATCCCTGCTAAGGATCCCTCTGCAGCTAAGACCATTTGGACAGTGCTCTCTTCAAGAGGCCTCAAAGCTTTTTCAGACTGATAAATTTTAAAATCATTAACTGCTTTGGAAAAAAATATCATCTGGAATCTAGTTTGTATTACAGAACAAGTCTAATCTAGTAACTTGGAACTTCCGTATGTAAAAAAGAGCAGCCACATCCTTCTCACATAGCTATTCCCCTTGTACAGCATATTGCCACAAGAGCAGCCTGAAGGAACAGAGACCAGAATCTAATCCGTACATTCTTTTGAGGACGATCTTATCACACTCCAACTACTGTCTCTATCCTGGGAAAGAGATTCACAGCTGCTGTTGCCATAAAGATCCCAAAACTAGAAGTTTGCTTCAGATCTGATGGACTTTTGTACCAAAAGCTTCAGTGCTCCAGCTTATCAGATGGTCCGATGATTTATTTTTTTAACTTTTCCCTTGTAATCTTGGGTCTCTTGGCTACCAGCTCCCAGCAGTAATATCACTTCCTCCAGACTGTTGACAAACCATCCCTATTCCACCATTACTTCCACAACCTAACATACAATACCTCACTCTCGTCTCAACATATCTCAGCCTTTCCAACTTAGTTTATATTTAAGCAGGGAAGAAGTAGCCTCAGTTGCCTTACGCAGGGCAGACAGGAGGAGGGTACTGCTGAGTCACTGCCTTGCCTGGTTATTAAGGGTCATGACATTTTCATACCAGGAAAGAGCAGAAGATTGGGAGCCTAAACCATGAGCACTCAAAGAAACCAAACAATTCATATTAGCTGCCTGCGTTTGGGTGGAAAACACCCATATGTGGAAAACACTAACAGAGCCAACAGAAATGAAAGCCATTACATCAAAAGCAACATAAATGCAGCATATGAACAGTAGCCAGGCTTGTAACTATAAAAATTAAGAATACACATGAAGTCAACTTGATATGAGAGGAATATTTTCTCCAAGATCTCCTCCAGCTTCTTCTGAATTCAAAGATGGTAAATCCTGTTTGGCAATATCAAGAGCAAATGCTTGAATACTTTTCTGGTGATTAAATAGTTGGCATTATACTGCCTGATAAGAGATAATACAATCTTTTGCCAGGGCTTTTGATCTGCACTTCAGTGCAGCCTTATTAAATGAACAGCAGTATTAATGCTGATTAACACATGTCATGAAGCACTCCCTTGGCCATCCTCCCCCCTTTTCTCCCTCTCTATCAGAGATAGAGAGGATCCTCCCTATCTCTTTCAGGTCACTGAGACAGAACAAATATTTGGCCACAGAAGGAAACTCATTTCCAAGCTGGAGGACAGCCCACATCTCCTGGTTCTTAATCCAGTGGACCATCATTTTCCTTTGATGTTATTAATCATATTTCACTTGTCACCACCAGAAACTGCCATATCCTCAACCTCCTGCTACACTCAAGACAATCAATAAATTAAGATGTACGCAAAGCACTAGCAGTTGTTACACAAGTATTTTACTAAATAACATTACCTTGAAAACAGCCTTCACAATTCAAACACATACCTGATTGTTGATGGTATAGTTAAGAACTTTATACCATTCATTAATAAAGCTGTCATTATCAGACTGAATTAAGAGCTCAGTTCCTTGGCGGGTTTTTAGCTTTAAAGAAATAAAACCAGATTATCATCAGAATTGATAAATACACTAGAATTCATAAGTTAAATTACCTAAATCAAATTTCTCCCTGGCATAACTTTTAGATAATATATAGCCACTCAAGAACACTTACCAGTGAAAACAGTAAATAACAGTCTGCTTAAAATTTAAAAACACACCCCATGCAAACATGATAAAAATGGACATTTCTTGAAGGTACTAAGATACACCTACATTTGAGCAGGAAGAAATGTAGACAAGTTGGAAGTTTCATACACAGAGACAGAGAGAAAGAGACAGACAGAAAGAGACAGAAATAATTCTGCATTTAAATAACATAACTCACCTCAATAACATTCTTTTTGCTGGATTTGTCCTTTGAGGCCCAGTCAATCAATGCTCCTTTGAGATCCACTGTAAATTCTGGCTTAGACTGATTGACACCAAACTTCTGGAAAAAAAGGAACAATGATGACAAACTTAAAACAAAGAAACTCCTAACAGGTACGCAAGTCTTGCAATCCTCGAATTATAATATATATTATTTACAGCCCATATAACTTAACCCAAATGCAGTACTTTGCCACAAATCAACAGGCATGATACCAGGAAAACAAAATCCAAACAGAAACCACAAAAAACACCCTTTAAGCATGCCTATTAAAACCTGCTCAGCTTAAAGCCCTTAAAATTCCGTACCACTACATGCCAAGTTCAAGCAAAGTTTTTTTCCTAGCACGAATGGTAGAAGTCCATACAGTATTTGACTGTAGCTTGACGTTAGTCAAGATAGTCCCAAGCTTTAAACAAAACTGGCTAATGAGTACCTGCACAAAACAACCCCATTCTGTCAGTTAACCAATGGTTTCTATATAAAACAAAAAAATCAAACCAGAAATAGCGGCTTTGCTAGAGAGGAATCACATCTCTCCTTCACTGGAAGAGCACTTGCAGTTCTTACATTTTTGTAATATCTATATTTTGCATGTGTATATGTATGTCCAATAATGCTTTTCGCATGATTTTTTCTGTGGTGCTTCTACTGCAATACTGGAGCACAGCCTACCAAGTAAACAGAACTCAATTTCACAGTCCAGCTACTGAACAAAAAGTAAAGTAACTGAAGTGATTAAAAAAAAGCATCTAACCCACAAGTAACCCTTTCAACAATGTGAAGAAAGACACCTGGGAGCTATTTTTACCTACTACTTTTACATTTACATTAGGTATCACAATTTCTTTAAATAAAGTATTTGTATTAGAGTTTCAACCTACATACACCACATAGCTTTGAAATCATTCCTCAGGGAAACCAGGTCAGTGACCCATACAAACAAAAACCTATAACTGTGAGTAAAATAAGTAAAACACGGAACAGGGAAAGCTGTAAGTCACTTGGACGTAGCACAGAAATTTAATGCTGTAGTTCTCGGGGAAGCTTGTAGCATCAGATCTATCAGAAAGGTTCTTTTCTATTTCTTTAAAGTGTCTTTGATGTGCAAATGCTGCTCATGTGACAGCTCTGGGGGACGTGAGCCCCAGGATGAGCTCCTTGCTGCGAACACAAGTTTCCAGCCTGTACAAGAACAGCCATATCCAAGGGGAGAAAACACAGCTCAGAAAACAGAACTAATCTGCTGCTTCTGATTAAATTCCCAGCATGTATGTTAATTAATGCTAATTGTGTTTTAGAAAGGCTGTTTACCACTGGAAAATCTCCCTGACTTGAGTCCTAAGGGCAATTAAGTGCTGAATGGAAAGTAGCATCTTAAGTTCTTTATTTTGCCCATGAAATCAGAATTGGGGAATATTTCTAATTTACCTAATGCCGACTAGCACTTGGGGGCCGGAGGAGGGGGAAGAGACACACACCCCCCCCAAACCAAAAAACAAACCACCACCACCAAACCCCCACAACCTTCTGCTTTCTAACTTCGTTCTCAGGTATCTCACCCAAGAACATTTCCTATTAATTATAGCAGAGCTTTTGAGAGAGGCCCAGCTTGGCTGTGGAGACCACAGGAACAATCTCTGGGCCATTATGGCTCTTGCAGTTGTAGGTGGCTATGCCTGTTCAAGAGAGATTCACATAACTACTTCACATACAGCCAAAGCACCCCAGCCACACACTTCCTGACAGCCAGAATCAATCTTGCTGCATGTTGGGAGGCGGGGAGGGGTAGGGGAAAGGGAAAAAAAACCCCTATTTCTAGAGTTTGGCACTGGAGAGTGTTGAGAGACTAGTGCTAAAATCAAGTCCTCCAAGTCCTCTGCAGGATCCAGGGGGATTTGTTAAAAACACCACTCAGATGATGCTGAGAAGCACAGGAGATGACCTGCTACAGGTGAAATCAGCTAACAATGACCAAAAAAACCCCATTAACAACCACTGCTGTTCTGAGCAAAAGGACAGCCCGCCAACACATTAGCTTGTTGAACTCCCCACGTTACAGATCACAGAACTACCTCAAACACCTCTGCCTTCTACCCGTCTTTTTGGCCTGACTCCCTTCAGCATTTCAGAGAAGCACAGAAGAAGCAAGAAACTAGAAGCTAAATTTCTTAGAAGGGAAAACTTCTTCCTTATTACTTCACACAAATAGAGCTCAAATTTCTGTGCCAGATCCAAGGATGGGGAAACACACTAATAATCCAGCCTCTCTGTAAAGCTTCTCTGATATACCAATATACTCATCACAAACTTTATTTCTTTATTCAAGGAAAATCTAAGTTTAGCATGTTGGCTGTCCTATAAGCTTTCCTGTCAAGGTTCTTTTCTGCTCCTGAAAGAAAAATGTATGAAACAAGATGCCAGCAGCCAGGAGCAAGTCCTGTACAGGGCTGCTGAGACACTCCACATACAAAAGTTAGCTAAAGGCAATTGAATCCTCCTGAAGCAAGCAGATTCTGTTGAGAGCAGCAAAAAGAAAACCTTTCCCTTTGCAATGTCTGCTTTCTCCAAACAAAAGTGAGCTACCAGGTCAGCACTAGACAGGATAAATTTAGGTTTCAGTGAGTAGACACCTTATTCTTACTAGATTTCTCTTTTGAGCTGCCTGGGAAGTTACGAAAGGGCAGCAGTGTGAGATGGAAAGAAGGAAAGGTCTATACATGGTGCTGCCAACTGCTCTAGATATGAAGCTGCCCTAGATACAAAGCTGTCCTAGAGTCACTTCTGACAGCTTTTTCTAGAAAAAAAAGGCTTAGACATGGATGTGCTTATGCTAGCTCTATGGCAGAGATAACCTCTACTTTTTGCAAAAATAGGGGGGATTTCTTGCTTCAGACATGGTAGCATTTGTGTAGCTTAAGGACTGACTTGAAGATGTGAGCTGATATCAATAAATAGAAAGTCTTTTCAATCTTTTCAGGAGTTTTCTCTAAGTCCTGGAAGCCTCCAAAGGACAAGCCACACAGTCTGTGTTGTGATATATTCCATCGTTCTTTGGAATCAGGACTGGATGTTATTTATGGGAAGACTTTGGAGGTAAAAATGACACCTGCCATTCTCATAATTCTGTTTTCTAATTAGAGTTGAGTAGAACAATTTAGTTCCAAGTCCTCCTCACCTAAGGATGGACTGCAGAAATAGAGCTAGGGAGACATGCTCCTTTGTGGCTGGTAGGGAAGCTTCAGAACTTACAGCTTTAACAAAACAAGAAAAATATAAAAATATTCTTTATCGTCATAGCAAAATGTAGGAAGTTTTTTGAAACTCTCACAGGAGTATTTCCATTCCAAATAATTTTCATGATAATCACCTGAGCTCCTGTATGATCAGCTTTGCTATACCGATGAACTGTATTAAGGTACATCCTCGTCCTAGTAGTAATATAACATCCGTGGCTATAAACACAGTGGTATAATACAGTAAACAAGAGTTTGCAGAGATGAATCTTGAAGAGCATTTATTTCCTTGGTGTTTGAGAAGTTTACCCACTTTTGGTTTACCACCACTGTATTTGACACTGAGGATATGTGCCTATTACAGCAGGTTGACAGATGAATCCTCCTGAGCAGTTACATTTGCTGTATTTTATGAAGCCCCACAGCTTAAATTTGGCAATTGCTATTGCAACTCCAAAAAATGAGACACGCCTTCTTTCAACAGTCAAAAATTCAAATTTTTGTGAAAAGGGATATTAAAAAAATAAAATAAAAAATAAATCTACATTTCCTTACAGAAACTAGCCCTGCAAAGGCTACCAAACTGCATAAGTTGTGTGACTTAGGCTTCCACATACATAGCAATGAATTTGACAAAGAAAAGGCAGTTGCATCCTTTTCAGCAGAAGGTTAATTGAATAAGCCTATAGTTACTTTCCAAAGCAAAAAAAAAATCAAGGTATTGGTCATCAAAACGGTCATTCTGGAAGTCTTAGGAACCATAAACAAACTCAAAACACAGCTCTCCCACCACTCTTCAGGAAATACAAGCCAAGACATCAACACAGTTTTAATCACCAACATACTCAAATCCTCAAAATGTCAAATTATTGAAACATTGCTTTTAATATCTTCAGTATGATCTTTTTCCATGAAATCTTTAGCTTGATTCTGATAAGACTGCTGAAAAGGCAGTATTAAAAACCAGTTAGACAACCAGTCAAGCCTGTTTGTTTCTTCTAACACTAGTAGCATGATCTGAATTCCTCCTCATCCACCTTGAGCAACAAGCTACCATTTTACCTACTAATGTTTTACCTACTAATGTTTCTGATGAGCAGCACTTCCATGCTTGGCATGTACACTTCAAAACATGACTAACATCAGATACTTAAATTATGTACAAAAGGTCCTACAAAGTTACATCAGCTTTCTGCTTATGGCATATAGCCAGAACATCCTTAAGCTCTTTTCCTTTCAGCTTTTTATGCATAACATTTACATTTTTGGGCACTCCAATTACAGCTAGAATTAACAACATGTACATCATTGTATCAAAAGCATCATGTGCACCTTATAAACATCCTAAATTAGTTGGGTTAGACAGAATTAGACATAAAATATCTGTTAAAAAACTGACCGTATCATGCTGTTTATTAGTCAAGTCACTAGTGGCTCAACTAGTAGGCAAATTTAGGATTGTAAATCTGGCACTGATAAACCAGATACTCTTTCTGCTTTGTTCCATTAGAACAATTACAGGATTATTCCACTACATTTATGTTAATCAGCATCTTGGATGACTTTGAGAAAACAGCAACCAGGATACACCAGTTGTTATAGAAAGTGACAAAATAGGAACCTTGGAAAAATTCAAATTGACTTTCAAGATTAGTGGCAAATAGCCTTACAGTGACAAGAGGCATGCAACAAGAACACATACAGTGATAGCTGAAACTTGGTCAGAGTTTACATAGGTGACAGCAGGTCGACGACTGAGAGCATTTTTCCAAGAAGAAAGCAGCGAGAGCAAGAGCTCAGGAATTGAGCTCCCTTGGCAAAATGACTTGATGAGAAAAAGGAAGAGAAGTGATGAAGTCACAAAACAATGCACACCAAAAAAAAGAAGATATGGTTACATCAATCACTAGACGAATGCTAAACACATTCTTCTCATAAGATGAAGAAATGTAATTCTTACCATATGTCAAGCTGTTAAAACTTGACTTCACCTTGCTAAAATACTGACACAGATCAATGTTTGAGGTGAGGTGGAACTTTTGAGACCTACCCCACCAAAAAAAAAAAAAAAAAAAAAAAAAAAAAAGCCAGAAAATTCCTATACAGACAGCAAGCAGAGTGTGTGATAAATATTAAATTACGTATTTCCAAAGCCAACTGCAAGTATGCAGGTATACAACACAAAGTCCTTGAAAGAGATTCTCCCTTAGTATATTCAGCTTCACTTTATTCTGTCCATACTGTTGACATTTTTCTAACCCTACTCCAATACTCCACAGTACTTAAACCTATAAAACTAAAGTACGTTTTGGATCCACAGCTATGAAAATAAATTGCAGAAGTCACCAAGTCCATTTCCTACCAAACAGTGTAATTTACCTTATCTCATGCCTTTAATCTTTATTCTTTTTTCTTCCCTTCTCTTTTCCTTCTGCTTGACCATCTTGCCCAACTTTACTCTTTCATTCTCTTCTACCCCAAATCTTATTTACTCATCCTCACCCATTTTTTCCCCAACCACCCCCTCCACAGCAACAGTAGGGCAAAAAAACTCTGTTTACAGCTCTGAAATGAATTCAGTGCTTTAGAAAAGAATTGTCAATACCAATTCACTACCCAAAAAGAAGCACAGCAGGAGAAAGTGAGCCAAGTAGAAAGACCAGCAAAGCACAGCAAGATAGCACATATCTGTAAGACGCAATTTTGCTGGAATTCACATGATAATACACTGGAATAATGAATACTGAATCTGACCTCTCTAATTATTCTAGGAGATCCACACAATTTAAATTCAGACCTCCAAAATCAAGCAAGCAGTAAAGAACCATTTCTATACCTATTAATGTATAAATAAATAGCTGGATAAATATAGCACATTTAATTATAGTGCTATTAAACTCGAGGTGATATAAAAATTGAACAACCATCATCTTCAGTGTGATGTTTCTCTTGAGAGTTTCATTAGACACCAAAATAGATTTTAAAAAAATACTTGTCAAGCACTATGCAGATATAAAACAAAGTACGGAATCCAGCAAGGCAAAGACTAAGACAATAATACTAGATTATTCAAATAGTCTAATGCAACTCGGCAAGCGCCAGGCTATTTTCTTCATTTCATCTATTACATTCAAAATTACCTGGAGTGTATGAAAAAAGAAATAAAAATGCAAGAACAGTGAAAGAAATGGTTTAGACAAACATATTAGTAAGGAACACATTCGGCTTAGAGCAAAAACTTAAAACTTTACAGGGCTGCTTCTCTTTCTACATCATAATTATTACATTAAACTATTTCCTTGGTAACTTACACTTATTTTTTCTAAATTATGCAGGCATATCAGTATTTATGCCCTATAAATAAGAGTACTTCAATTTATTGTGCTTTATGTGATTAACACTTAAATGAGGATGGGGAGTTGTTCCTGAGCTTACCCAGCCAGTTCCACTTCCTTGGGTTTTAGTGAACAGCAGTGATGAACCTTGTAACACTGCCCACGACGACATCCAATTCTTTCTGTAAATATTGGTAAATAAACATAAGATAAATTGACTTCAAAAGTAGATATTTAAACTGCCCATCATTGTTGCCCGGATGACCTTTATGTTAATATACTTAACCATATATACAGTCATTTGTGCCATCAGTAAGTCTTAATTGGCATTATATTTGTAGAAGAGAAACACATTAACAGTCCCAGCCTGACCATCAAAGTCTAAATCAAACAAAGCTAATTAGTAGTGGAAGCAGTTCACAAAGAGAAACACCATACAATTATAATTTCAAAGGGGCTAATCTGGGATGCTCAGCCTACTGTGTACTTAGTCAATTATGCCAAAGTACTGCGTAATTCTAAAACTGATTGATCACACCTAACTGGGATGCAAGTGTCCCACATCTATGGAATAAGCTCATTTACACTGGCAATAAAATATTTGCTAGACATCTAAAATTTGCAGAAAGAACAAATAAGTTGTTTCAGATGTCTGAGTATTTGATTTCATGCCTGAGTACCTGTCCTCCTGAGGTTAAAAACAGAAGTCTTGACAAGCTCTGACAATTTCCATTGCCCAAACATGAGTTATTATTCAACAGCTCTAAAAGTGACAGGATGGCCATGTTGCATCTTTCTGTACAGCAGCGCAGTAATCCAGATCAATGATTCCAACAGATGCAACATAAATGGTGAAAGCATCCTGTACCAGTAGCAGCTTACATGAGCCACTGTCTATCCTTTCCTACCAAGCTCTTAGAAGCAGCAATGAGGAACCAAACTGGTGGTCAGATGTGCTGCCCAGCTGTGCTGGCCTAGGTGAGGGGGGTCTGGAGTATCAGCTAGGTGCTGACTATTTAAGCCTCAGGAAAAGTGCTTCATGTATGGGAAACATTAAACTAGATAGATACAACACAGTATTAGACCCAAAAGATTAAATCTTTAAAAAGTAAAAAACCTAAATTAAATCTGAGGATATGCCACTCTTGCACAGTATTTAACAATGACTCTTTGCAAAATACCAGAAATGTAAGTTAGACAGCATTCCTTGATTATATGTTATGATATATAATGTAAATGCCTGCCTGTGAAGCAGAGAAAGGAAGTTAAAAAGAAAGAAAGTTACCCATCACCTACAGGGAGACCAAGGTTGGTCGACACATTCTGCTTTAAACCCTTCACATGCAGAGTGAAGGAAGAACTAAGGAGCATGTGACATGTGCACTCCTTGGAAATCAAAGGACATCAAATGAAAGCTCCTCCTACACTGATTCTATCCAAGGAACAAGACAGACTATCAGCTATACAGATTTTCTCTTAAATCAATCAATCAACCCTATTTTATAAAGCTGCCTCTCACCAGTACACCTTCATGAAGTCACTGCCCTGTGTTGAACCCTGGCATACATGAGCCTCTGGCTCTCTCAAGTCCATTATCTTTAGCTCCCCGGGAGAGACACATATTTTGGGTTAAGGAAACATTGTGTCCTACAGGAACACCTTTAAGGCAAATTCAGACAAAAAGTAACTAAGTGCAAAACCAGGTATGCTATCCTCATACAGAAGTCAGATACCTTACACAAACCCTTATGCACACGTACTTCTCCGAAGTCCAGACTTACCGAACTTTCTTCCCATTTTCTGTAATTTTTGTCACATTCAATAGCCCATACTTCTCTTGACCCTGTAAGGTAAGAGTGAGACATAACATATATAAAAGAAAATCTGTTTCTATTGCCATCATGGCACTGAATCAATCCCCCCAAACAATCAGTTCCTGGCAATGAGCCATCTTTGCCTATGTTACAACTTCAAGAAATCATCTTGAGTATATTCAAATACGCAGACATCAGCAAAATGAAAATTCCTCTGGGGAAGCACTCATTACCATTCAGAGGGTAAAAAGCTTTCCTTCAAGGCCTAGGTTCTTTGCATGAGCCAAACTAAATAATTTGTGGTACTAGACAGTGAAAATTTTAAACATAAATTGATAATGGTTTGTGTAATAGCACATTTGTTTGTGTCCTTTACTAAAAAAGGAGATGGCTGACAAACAGCCCAAATTCTCTGACAAAATTCTTCCAAGTTATTTTAACATAATTGCATACTTTAAATAAAACATGGTTGAAATGCATAAAAATATTAACATATTCATTTTAAAAACAGATGAGTGAAACATTTCTTTGATGTCCTATGTTTTTCTATCCCCAAGCAAAGTATTAGAATTTTAAACTACTTCATTATGTCTTGTTGATGAAAATCACTTATATTGGTATGCCTCTGTACAAATTTGGAGATCAGCCAGTGAACAGTGGTAAAAGACAACTGATGAACAAGAAGATTATTTGCAAGTTTCAAATATCTGGAGTGGATATTTCTAGTTTCTATGCACAAAAGAAAAAAAAGGAATGTTTGAAAAAATATTCTAGGATAAAAAGGAAAACCATTGACTTATACATTTGTGACTCTCAAGATGAGGTAACAAATTCTATCATTTGCTCCTGTCGCCTCAGCCTTGTCATACCAGTGAACAATGTTAAAGGAACATTAACTTATTTTGCCAATCAGTTCCTAATTTAAGAACTAAGCCATTACTTGGAACAATCAACTAGGGAAAGGAACCAAATTAGTTTTAGCAAAACAAAAACGTCCTCAATTCTAGATCCAATGAAAATAGAAGATGTATTCTCTTCAGCATTCTCCTCAATCTCAGGTTTAAGTGGACCATAATTGCAGAATACAATATCAGAGATTTTTTTTTCTGGAATATTGTGACAACACTCTTACCAGAGATATATGTCTGGTTTTAAGAATTTTACCTACATGTTTCAAGCACAACACAAAATACAAAAAAGACAAACATATTTCAAGGATAATAGTGTTTATCTGGTGGTTCAGATGTTGTTTCACTCCAGTGGTAACTGCTACACTTACTCAACCTAGTATCTTCATCAAGCTGGCATACTTTCCCAAAGCCAGCAATATATATATATTCCCAAAATAATACTTCCAGTAGAAAAAATTAGTCACTTCCCCCACCCCCCAAAAAAACCCCTAGCCTATTCTTTATATTACTTTGTGATCCATGCAGACCACCACTAACAAACCTATGCACTGCACCCTTCTAACAACCTTTGCCTTTAGTAAGAGGAACAGCTTGTCACCATCTTTCACAGTGACTGAGCAACCCACACCCACTTTCTCAACTCAATTATGGTTTTAATAAATTACTCATGGTAGAAACTGTGGGAATGCTCCAAAAAAGAATTATTCAGAAAAAGTATCATAATGCCCTACTTCGCAGCAACACTAGGGGGTACTAATGGGAAAATTACTGTAATCAGGGAAAGGGAAGCAGAAAGCAAGGATCAAAAGATGAAACAATTCACCGGCTTGCTTTGTAATATTTAAATCCCAGGGGACAACTAAAGAAAATACAGATTATTCTTTTCTATTATCTAAAGCAGCAGTGATTTCTTCTGAAAAAATATACTTTTAATAATTCAAGGTCTGAGACATATTCAACTAAATTAGAATATGTGCAGCAATAATTGCTTGTGTATAAGGCTATCAACTATGCTTGCTTAATAAACAATATTTGCTTTATTGTGGAAAACTGTTTGAACTGTCTGAAGTGTTGTAAGGATGGATTAGTATGAATAAGCCAGACAAACATTCCTCTGTGTGCAGAATAAGCATGAAACAGAAGTTGTGCCTTTAATGCCCTGAGCTACCTACTAAAGGGTTGCTAAAATTGATCAAGGCACATATTTCAAAGCTACTGTAGCATTATTGTACAGTTCCAACATCTTTTTTAAAATATAAAACCTTCTTTTTAACCATTTTCCACTGTTTAGAAAGCAATCATCACATTTAAAATACAAACTGAAGCAAAAAAGTCTGTGAAACATTCATAGCAAGTTTAACAAGCTTAAGTTTTTCTCCCAGTACTTATTCTACTAAATCAAAAAAAAGACAGTTTATTTATGCCAGGTTCTCTATGCCTTTTCAAGAAGACTGAAACACAAGAGAAAAATAGAGATATAAAGTACTAGAAACTATTACTGACTACTGATTGTGAGAGATTCTGTGGAGATGCAGAGTTTATTTCTGCTTTTACCTTCCAAGTTGCTAGATGAAAAGACACGGCTGTTGGAAGAAATCAGCTGAGTTCTAAGTAATGTGACATAACTTTATTCTACAGAGAGTTTTTACTTACTTTCCTATCACCGAGCTGTATTTAAATCAAAGACATTTAATTTTTTTCTGAAAGCACAGTTGGATGCAGTGCATTCCTTTAAAAATGTAAAGCCTTCAAATTGCTTTATCCCATTATTTTTCTCACTATCAAGCAGGCTTATCCTCAATTCTCGAATCATGAATAGCCTGGTTTCTACAACATATACTTATCTATTTAAACACTTTGCAAACTGACCGTGGCTTGATGCTTTGGTGAAGAAGGAGAGGTCTCATTTTCAGGAAAACTGGCCTTAGAAGCAGTTGATGATTCCTGTAAAATTCAAATAGGCAATGTAAGTTATTGTCTTTCTTACAATTCTTTTTTTTTTAAACCCTAAAGATACATCCTTTTTATACACACTCATTACAAAAATAATGTACTACTTTTATCAAGCATTCATTATATTCTTAGACAGTTAGATTATAAACCTGTGGTTTTATGCATTAATGTAAGATGATTATCTTTATTAAGGGGCACATCTTATTGTATGCCATTGCTAGCAAATTATGAACCACACAGCTAATACTAACTTATTAGAGGGCACCATACAAGAAATACCAAGATTTTAAAGAATAGATTATGTCTCTGTGTGGTTAGTAAATAAGATCAGTATAACAAATTGTTTCATACGTAGAAAAGTGTATACCAGCTCTATTAATTTGTGAGTCATGATCATTAATTTCCTTGTAATTAAGCACTGAACATTTCTAGAGATTCAGGTTTTTCTTTTAAACTAGACTAACTACAGACCAAAAGAAAGTACTAAATCTCTGAAAACTAGGAAAAATTGCCCATCTGGAACAAGAAAAGGCACGTGCATTTCTTCTGAAGTAATGACTGCTTTGCACAAATACACTTGAAAATCTGGTAAGGAATTTCAAAAAGAAGAAAAACATCACTTGTTCTCTGTTACTGTTAACATTTCTCTCCCTCTCTCTTAATTCCCTTTATAGCTCTCCCAAATTCAGTTTGCTTTTCCAGCATTACATAACACTCTGCACATTCACACTTTAAAATGCACTTGTAAATCTAACTACAGTAGTAGCCCATTAGTTCTTTTAGTAGTATAATAACAGAGAATATTAGCAATCTCAAGAACAGCCTAAATGCTTCATATTTTCAGATGTCTTAAAAAAATTATATATATATATA